ACGCCATACGCGCGCGGACAATATACTGGGACGAGTTCGATATGAAGATTCATAGACTCGAATCGTCACACTTAGTGCGTCTTAAACTGCGCCAGGCCGCCTTGTAGTTGAGAACTCCTTAGTTTAGCTGCAGAATCCGGCTTTTGTTGAGAACTCTGGGTCTCGCTTGGATGCCATCATTGCAGTGACTTGTTTGAGCGCTCCAGGTTGGTCCAGGCAATTCTACAATTCCGTCTGGGCACTTTGGCATACGAGGGGTAATTGCAGACACAAGAAGGCTCTGCAGATCTACGCTCAGCAAGGATTGTGAAAGTACAGTCCGTGGCCACAACAAGGGAGTCCCGAACGCTGCCTATGATTGGAAGTAGGCCAGGCACTGCGATTGTCACAGCCTCAGAGGTAAGGGGCGCTGTACCAGAATGGATTGCCGGCCCGTTGACTTTTTAACTCATCTCATTGCTTTTATGTGATCATCCTTGTAAAGCCCTACTAGGTCAGGTGTTCGCTTTGTAAGGAACATCGTTTCCAAAATCTCGTGGCTCACAAGACAAGGGCATGAAAACCCTGTTGTTTTTCTTGAAAAATTGTGTCCACATATCTGTGACAAAGCCCGGATGATAAAGGAAAGATGATACTCCCCTCGGGACAGCTTTTCAATCTGTGACAGGTTGACTTTCTGTAACCAGTGGTTCTACCCAAGGGGGACGACCTCTGGTTGAATTTAATGCAGGAGTCGCATATCCCAAAAGTCGTCAATTGATTAGGCTTCCTATGTTGGCTAGATGCGCGTTCTGGGCTCGTGAGACTGACCAGGAACGAAAGGTCAACCGTTAGTTAGAAACGAGCTAGTTTTGGACCGACTGCAATTGCTCAAGAGAACCGCACTAGGGCCACTCAACGCTGTACTGGACTGATTGGACTCTGTTTGTGAGAGGAGGCCTGATATGGACGTCTCATAAAGACCCTCTTCCTTCTCATCTCTTTCTGTGAGACTTGCTTCCCGCTTGCAAGCGTTTCCTGACAGTTAACCGACCGTTTTTCTGGCGGTTCACGAGGGTCGATTACGGGCTGGTTCGAAGCTGGTTCTACTGATTTCAGTGACCAGCCTCGAGCAGGGACCAGACTCTTCACATGGTCACAACTAGTCTGGATATTGGCTGAAGAACCAGACTCAAGTCTGGTTATCCAGCCTGATTAGCACGCTAACCCTTCCTGTGTTGATTCGATGCAGCTTTTGGAACTACAGGAATGGGCTGCTCTTGCTGTCTCTCCTGGGGGAGGCGGCAAAACCCGAGGTGAAGGCCGACGTGAATGTTTCGAAGCCCATTTCGCGGTCACTTTTCCGATTGGTAGATATGTTGGTTCAGCATCTCAGACCTCAGGTCTTTGCGGTATATTAGCTGTTGAGTATCTCAAAGCTCAAAGCATGGTTCCGGATCTTGGACCATTTACGAAGAGGAAGAGGACACAGCATCAAACGGACAACGGCTTACGATTGCAAAGAACTCGACAGTGGGGTGTTTGACGCTTATAGAACTTTAAAGTGGTCGAGCTTACATTCGAAGCCGCAAAGTCCAGAAGGGAGGCTCGCCTCTTGATTTGGCTGTTACGAAAGTCCTCGTTAAGGACGTCTTTGAATTCGTGTCGAAACGCGCTTCAGATTGTTCTGCAAACCGTCAGATTCACACACCTGGTTGCAGAGTAAGATACGTTTGCGCGTCCATTGCACTACATAATGAATTTATAGTTGAGCCCTGTAGAAAGGGTGAGAGTAAAAGGTCTGGAGGTGTAAGTGAGAGGTACGAACAAGAAGCGCTGCCAAGAGGGACTAGTTGCAAAACCCAGGCAGTGCGTCCCAACTGCGAAAGCCAAGAATGATGATCTAGAATTTCGAAGCCAGAGCGCGACGCTATCTTCAATTCAAGTCGCCAGGTGTCTCCGTCCACCACTCTGATTTACCCATTTCACATCTTGCAGAATGGATGCGTCTCTAGTGCAGACAATCGCGTCCCTGGATATGAACACCAGCAACATGAGCCTGGCCCAGAGTTACGGCCTGGCCATCCAGACCGATTCTTGGGAGGACACCGCCCGCACCAAGAACAGCTGCTGGGGCCCCAACATTGCTGACCTCACCCTCCACGTGGCGGGCTCCCGTCTCCCGATGATCCGCAAGCCCAACTTCGCTGACGTCACCGCTGACGTCCCAATGAGCTTCTTCAGCGTGACCACCGGCAACGAGAAACCCGCTGGAGCCCTCAAGCGGGTCAGCTTTAAGGACTACGTAACCGAGACCCTGGGTCTGCCTAACCTGATTCTTAACCGCGATGACGTCTTGCTGGCGTCAGCGCATGCGTGCGTGTTGCCATGCGGCGTCGGCGGCGAGACTGAGTTTTGCCCGCAGCTCTTCAGCTACCAGGCGCGCCCGGACGACCCCGCCATTCTAGTTTTCGTTGCGAGCTCCCAGGAGACGTCAGCCCACGTCATCACCGGGGCTGCCGACAAGCTGCTCTTCAACCGCGGCGGCGCGGCCGCAATGTTCCTAGCGAAGCGCCTGTCGCAGGAGCGGCGCGAGCGCGGGGTTTCGGAGGCGGGCGCGATGACGGATGACGAACTAGATCGGAACGCGATCCTCCTGTTCCAGATTCCGCTCAAACAGCGGTCCGAAGCTACCGGCTTCGTTAGACCATACATCCCCATTGCAACTGGAAGCCGCCGCCGCGCCTCCCCGCTTGCGGGCCTGGAATTCGCGACGCTGCGCGCGTCCGAAAAAACCTACGGCCCCTTCCGAGGTTTGGCAAGGTTTAAGCTCGAACGCAACGCGCGCTTCCCGATCCGCGTCACGTTCCAAATGTATACGGTGACGGACGATCCGGTTCTGAAGGAGAGCCAAATAAAAAGTCTGGCGGACAAAATCGAAAAGGTGTACGTGCGCGGCAAGGAGACGGGGAGTCTGGTGACCAACACAACGAACCGCGCAACGGAGCCGCGCCCGCTCGGGAGCGTGATGGGAGCGGAGCAGATGCCGTCCTTTAACCTGCGTGCGGAATAGCTTGGGAGGGAACGGAACGGAGCAGTTGTCATGGGAAGAAGAGCGGCAGCTTTGCAAGTAAATCTTAGGGGGCCGCTCAGGAGATACGGATTTTTACTGGACCCGTCGATAAATCAAGTGAAAGATAGTGGTTTGTACGATAAGCAAGGAAACAGGCCCGCCGTGCACGTTCTTAGGGGCGTAAGATCTAAGCAGCTAAGCATTCATAGTATGCCGTTGAAAACCCGTTAAACACCAACCTCAAGCATCGTGGGTGGCACTGCGGACGACGATGCAGACTTATGAAAGTTCAATAAGTAGTATACATAGGGTATATATAACGACGGCAGGTTTTGGGACCATAAAATTTGACTCCATCTTAGTCTTAAAAACCAAATCTTGATCGAAAGCAAAACGGTTTCGTTCGAAAGCCCCAGAATGAGACCGTCTTGGATAGATATGGACGCAGATAGCAAAAGGGTCTCAAAAGCCAGTAACCTCGGGAAACTGTTTTCGAAACCAGAGACTATATCTCTGATTTCAAAAGGATTCTCGTATATAGTGAAACATTAAAATGGAGGTTCAAATAAGAGAAAGAGAGCAGCAGTGTGACGCGCATGTTTTTCGAGCCTTCGGTCAGAGCCAAACAGCACACGATGCACAATGCACATGAGCTCAAAAACCTTCCAGTTCGTGACTCAAATTCAACTAGTCACGTCCACCAGTTGCATATGTTTTCCAGCAAGTGTGCAGCGCTTGTCGATCCCTTGAGCACTAATTTCCAAGATCACCACCTCACACACATCTTAACTTGCTTCTGTCGACTCGATCTAATACGTATCTTCTATTTCCATTATTGGTTCTTTCAAGAAACTTATCGACCAGGGTCGCCCCTCATCCAACCAGCGGCTGCTCCTTCAGACGCTAAAAGTTGAAGAGCGGCATCTGCTCCGCTCCGGTGACGCTTCCGAGCGGGCGCAGTTTCGTCACGCGGTTCGTCGTGTTCGTCACCAGACTCCCCGTCTCCTTGCCACGAGCGTACACCTTCCCAATCCTCTCCGGCAGACTTTTTATTTGGCTCTCCTTCAGAACCGGGTCGTCCGTCACCGTATACATCTGGAACGTCACGCGGATCGGGAAGCGCGCGTCGCGCTCGAGCTTGAACCCTTCCAAACCCCGGAAGGGGCCGTAGGTTTGGTCGGACGCGCGTAGCGTCGCGTACTCCAGGCCCGCGAGCGCGGCCTCGCGGATGCGCTCGTCGGGAGCGGCACCCGGCATCTCGCAGGCGCCAGCGAACACTGACATCTCACAGCATTCGTCACAATCCGAGTCGTACCGCCATTCAGGCGCCGGGCGCTGCTTGAGCGGGATCTGGAACAGGAGGAGCGCGTTCCGATCTAGTTCGTCGGCCGTCATCGCGCCCGCCTCCGAAACCCCGCGCTCGCGCCGGTCCTGCGACAGGCGCTTGGCTAGGAACATTGCGGCCGCGCCGCCGCGGTTGAAGAGCAGAGCTCTTGTCGGCAGCCCCGGTGATGACGTGGGCTGACGTCCCCTGGAAGCTCGCAACGAAAACTAGAATGGCGGGGTCGTCCGGGCGCGCCTGGTAGCTGAAGAGCTGCGGGCAAAACTCAGTCTCGCCGCCGACGCCGCATGGCAACACGCACGCATGCGCTGACGCCAGCAAGACGTCATCGCGGTTAAGAATCAGGTTAGGCAGACCCAAGGTCTCGGTTACGTAGTCCTTGAAGCTGACCCGCTTGAGGGCTCCAGCGGGTTTCTCGTTGCCGGTGGTCACGCTGAAGAAGCTCATTGGGACGTCAGCGGTGACGTCAGCAAAGTTGGGCTTGCGGATCATCGAGAGACGGGAGCCCGCCACGTGGAGGGTGAGGTCAGCAATGTTTGGGCCCCAGCAGCTGTTCTTGGTGCGGGCGGTGTCCTCCCAAGAAACGGTCTGGATGGCCTGGCCGTAACTCTGGGCCAGGCTCCTGTTGCTGGCGTTACAGTTCAGGGACGCGATCTCACGAACTAGAGGCGACTCCATTTTCACCTGGCAGAGAATGGAAAGCGCTGTCGAAGGTTGAAGGGCGCGAACTTTTTCTTGGAAATGTTCTCCCTTTACTGTTGTTTGGCGTGCGAAACAGAAAGGAGTCCAAGGACACAGACAACGGTGAAGCTCCTGCAGAATTGCAGAACTTCCAATACGACATCGGACAAGCAGAAGCCTAATTTCGATCACGAAGGTTCCCGAGGCGTCTCTGGATTTATCACGTTGGCATGGTTTGATCTGCTTTCCAGTTGTGTGTTTGTAGCATACGAAGCTCCGCCAAAGTCTATGCACAGCGGAATCTGAGCTCAGAACAGGAGCAAGCTACCTCTTTTTATGAAATTATAGAAAGGCCACAGAGTGCTGCTAGAATGACTCATGCCTGTGCCGAGCGGGGGTTTCTATCTGCGAAACTGAAAGAGGTAACCAATCCTCCGAGCTTTCGGGAGAAGCTGTGACCATTTGACGACACTGATCTCAAATCTGTTAATTTTAATCTTTTCCCATTTTGTCGTTCTTCTCCCTTTCAAGAGTCTAATCCGTCGTTAAGAACTTCAGTCTCAAGCTTGTGGCAAATCACTTCACATAAATCAAGTGTTCTCAAGCTCTTTACAACATGATCTTTGAACAAACTCCCTCAAGAAGATTCCGAGTCTTCGTCTCAACGTGTAAGCCTCGAAAGGTTCCTCTTGCGACAAATCAGCACCGACTCTAGATTCCTGAAGCAGGGACATAAGAGCAGCTGAAAAACGACAAAAGGTTGAACAAAATTTTTGTGTGCACTTACCGTGGTCCTGTATGCTGAAGCTCCTTGTCCGGAAGGGGTGGCGTTCAAGACTCCCTGTAGTGTGAGCGCGGGGTTTGCTTTCACGATAAACCTCCTGGCTGCAGTAGACGGTCTTACAGCTTTTGGTAAAAGGGATTTGCTCAGCAAGCGCAGACTTTGAAAAGACATTGTGGCCGCCTTCAAACCTCACAGCAGTAGGCCCGCTTCACCAAACAGAGTGATCTGGCGTAGTAGTGAGAGTTTTGACACTTTTCGAGGTCAAGAGTCGCGTCAGCAGTGACGTTTCCGCGCGGAGGGCACACGCAGACGTGTTTGAGCAATCACAGCCGTCGATTCACAAGCTGTGCGGCTGATCGACGGCTGTCAGGTTGTTGGGTAGAGTTGGGAGAGCGGGGTTTCACGGCTGACAACTTAGGAATTGGAAGGCCAACATACACCCTCAAGCCGCTTGCATCATAGCGCCCATACTGAGTATCTAGATGCAGGAGAAGAGGTTGCAGTACCTCAGGAACCTGCGAAGTGCACCTGACGTCTCACAACAGCTTCCAAATTTCGCCGTCGATTCTGCACAGCGTGCATTGACGGCTATCGATTGCTCAGGCACGTCCCTCCATGACCTCAGGTCACGTTACTGCTGACACGGCAAACCTGGCATCCGAGTAGCCGACGGCCGTGCTGTCACGACCTTCTTTTGTGACACTCACATCGCTCCAAATTCCAATCCTCGATCAGCTTTGCAGCCGGGTAAACTACAGCGCATGGGTCAGTCAGTAACGGCTGTGAAAGTGAAGGAGCTTCTGAAGGTGGTGTCCACAATCAGCCTGACAAAGCCTGCGCTTGCTAAGGGACCTAGTCACCAGAAGATCTGCACATGACGGTGCAGCGAGGAAGTTTGAAGCGCTCACAAAACTGGGGGTTCAGGTTCAAGTTCTGATCGCCGCCCGTTCCTGGAATAAGGAAGCAAATTTGCCCGGCAAACAAGCACAAAGGTAAGGGGACTTCACCAGAGCTAGCCTAAAGTTTGTTTAACCTTCTGACGCTTTTCATCCGCTTGTATGCCGATTTTGATTGTGAAAGCCCAGGTCAGTGCTCCTGCGTTGCACGAAACATGTAACTAGAAATGTATTGGCTTGCACAAGACCAAGACGAGTCTTTCTTCCTTGAAAGACTTTGTTCAAGAGTTCCGTAACAAGGCCTGAGGACGATCGTCTTTGCACAGCAGCGGTCTGAAGTCACATCGCGATGTAGTGTACGGTTTTGTTCATGAAAAGGAAGACGAAATACAAGATGAGCAACGTGAAGAATCACAAATTCTGAGTCGTCAATTGGTCACAACTTCGAATTTCTCTCAATGCAAGGATTATTGTCTACTTCTTGCTCCTGGCAGCGGTAGCTTGGAGGTATCTACTCTCGCAGCGCTTTGTCTCCGGCTTTCTGACTTGACAATTGACATTGCATTCAAACTTGACCATGTCTTCCGATCGGGTTCCGCTATCATTTGTCATGGACGTTTTGTACCTTGCATTGGAACAAGTTGTCTCTTTTCTTGAAATCCTGGACAAATGCAGTCACTAGACGAACATTTCAAACCTAATAAGCAGCCAAAGACGTCTCGAGAATCTCAGTCACCAGAATCGGCGTATAACATGACCACTTCTTCCTCGTTTGTGCCAGGACTCACAATAGCTTCACCTTATGTGTCCCTCTGAAACCCCTGGATCTCAAGAGGGAGAGGAGTAATCCGCCAGGTGGCTTCACCTCATCAAATACTCGTCCACATCTGCAGATAACAATGGACTCGTCTCTAGTTGAAGAGATTGCGTCCCTGGAGGATCTCGCCAGCAACATCAGCCTGGCCCACAGTTACGGCCTGGCCATCCAGACCGTTTCTTGGGAGGACACCGCTCGTACCAAGAACAGCTGCTGGGGGCCCAACATTGCTGACCTCACCCTCCACGTGGCCGACTTTGATCTCCCGATGATCCGCAAGCCCAACTTCGCTGACGTCACCGCTGACGTCCCAATGAGCTTCTTCAGCGTGACCACCGGCAACGAGAAACCCGCTGGAAACCTAAAGCGGGTTAGCTTCAAGGACTACGTAACCGAGACCCTGGGTCTGCCTGACCTGATTTTGGACCGCGATGGCGTCCTGCTGGCGTCAGCGCAGGCGTGCGTGCTGCCCGGTGCGGCGTCAGCGGCGAGACGGAGTTCTGCCCGCAGCTCTTCAGCTACCAGGCGCGCCCGGACGACCCCGCCGCTCTAGTTATCATGGCGAGCTCCCAGGGGACGTCAGCCCACGTCATCACTGGAGACGACGACAAGCTGCTCTTCAACCGCGGCGGCGCGGCCGCGATGTTCCTAGCGAAGCGCCTGTCGCAGGACCGGCGCGAGCGCGGGGTTCCGGAGGCGGGCGCGATGACAGACGACGAACTAGATCGGAACGCGCTTCTCCTGTTCCAGATCCCGCTGAAGCAGCGCCCGGCGCCCAAACGGCGGTACCATTCTGGGTATGAAAGCGCCAAATGCAGTTTCAGAGGCGGCGCGGCGGCCGGGTCCGCGCGCAAAGCATGCAAACACGCGCGCGATGCCTCCCCGCGCGCGGGCCTGGAGTACGCGACGCTGCGGGCGTCGGACAAAACGTGCGGCCCCTTCCGGGGTTTGGGAGGGTTTAAGCTCGAGCGCGACGCGCGCTTCCCGATCCGCGTCACGTTCCAGATGTATACGGTGACGGACGACCCGGTTCTGAAGGAGAGCCAAATAAAAAGTCTGGCGGACAAAATCGAAAAGGTGTACGCGCGTGGCGAGGAGGCGGGGAGTCTGGTGACGAACATAACGGAGCGCGCTACAGAGCCGCGCCCGCTCGCGAGCTCCGCCGGAGGGGAGCTCTAGCTCAACACGCGTGTAAATCAAGGCGCAAAGAACGGATCTGAATCAGATGTGCCAATATGAGCGGCCCACTTTTTCAATAGATACACTGAAAGTAAGAACTAGAGGACTCATCAGATTTTATTCCGAGTTTGTGATGATCTTGTGCTGATAGGTTCAGCAAGAGATTGATGAGCGGTACGGATCGGAACGAATTTGGAACCGCGAAGACTGTACTTTCATGATCTGCAAAGCTGGCCAGTATAATCGCTTAAAATGTGCATTTTCTTCACTTGGTGTTTGCTCTTGCCAAGGGCAAATTCGAGGTGCAGACAGATCGTGGCACTTCGAGCAGGTGTCCCTCCAGGTACTCACGAGACTCGATCGTTGAGGGCCACTCCGCAGGGGCTGTTGAGGCCTCACTTTACAGAAGCGCACTTCTAGCGCAAGCGCAGTGTATCACCTCCGTAGAATGTTAGAATCTGTGTCGGTACCAGGGCGAATCGGATCACTTCAAGCAAATATCCCCTCTCCTTCTCCTTTGCTCAAGCTCTTCGTTCAATTTCGAAGATTCGTCGTCATCGTCATTCAGAACCAGATTCATCGTTACAACCCTACAAACGATAATCGCACCCAGTGCTTCTCGTGCCCGCCCTTCAATCAATCCTCTGGTTTCAATGTAAACCTCGGTACCCCGCCACTGTGCGCGCGCTCGTGATGCATGCCAGGAGGTTTTTACCGGGCACCGGCTTGGCAAGTCGAGCCTCCCGGTGCATGCGCTCCTTTCACGCGGACAATACCAAGAGCACCGTCTCTATGTTCGTGCCCGGGGTAAACCATGGTGAGAGCCGCAGAGGACTTTTCGCTTCCGGCAGGAATTTTCTGCGCGAAAGTGTTCGCGAGCACGAACGCTTGTAAGAGCTGCTAAGATATGACTGTAAATGTTGGTTTCCGAGCGCGCCGTCCAGCCAGCTTACGTGCCGCCGAACGTTTTGTTGGAAAAATTCGTTTGGAAAGTCGTTTCGAACTAGTGGAATCAACGGCAAAAATGTTCCTCTATGAGCTTTGGCACTAATTTCGCTATGATCCGGCAGTCAGGTTGGATGTCAATGACGCCCAAAATCACCCCGTTTGGTTTACAGTATAAACAGATGAATCTTCGTCCTCGCCCGAGATTCTCGAACGGCTCTGTCCAGAAGGATAAAAGGATAAAAGGATAAAAGCGGAAGCTAAGTTTGAGATTACTATCGTGCTTTCAAACCAGGCTCTCCATGCAGAGGCTCCATTCGGATCTTGCGATGCACGACACCGCATTCCAGGCTTTCATAGACAACGGTTGAACATATCCACTTACGCTGTAAAACCGGTTCTAAAGATGACACACGGTAAATGCGCGTGCGCGTAGGTGGCACCAAAGAGTACGGCCGGCCACACCAGGTGACAACTTTTCGACGATACCGGCCAGGTATTGAGCGAAGCACAACTTTGCCGCAGTGCTGCTGTGACGGCCGCGTTTCTAGTACCCGATCTTTACCTAGCGCGACAGCCGCTAAACTGGGCGTACTGGCCTTGTGACCCTGTCATAAGGCTTGCTGGCGGTGCAAGGAAACAGCTAGACGTCAATGATTTTGGTCGTTTCAGATGCATACAGACGTCCCAAAGACGTACTACAGCAGACCCCGTTATTAGTATGAGAAGAAAAGGAGGCCTTTCGAGTTCGCGGAATGTCTCTGAGCGTTTGGCCGGCATCCCAGATGTTTCCCTGACAAAGGGCCTCAGGCCCTCGATCTGTCACGACTTTGTTAAATGTATCATTGTGGCTTGAGGATAAGATATGGGACATAGGGTGCACAAAGAGAAGTGTACTTCAAATCTGTACCGAGTGTACTAACCGAGAGGCAGTTAAAGTGTACTTCAAATCTGTTATCTAATCTTTTGCTGATCTTGCCTGTACGTTCCGTTTTCGAAGGTCATGCATCTACCAAACACGGACGAGTAAAAGGTTGATATGAAGAATGCATTACTTAGACTTCGAGTTCGCAAGATTCCGCATTGCCCAAGACGGTCGGGCAATTATTGAATTACGGCTCTTAAGTCACGGTAGCAGCCAATCTTAAACTACTTATGTTAGTACGCATGCCATCCAGAGTTTGTCATGCGGTAGGCTTATGTCGGTGCGATATCATGTCAATGAATAGACTGAGGCGCTCAAGCTAACGGCGGAAATGAAAAAGATACGTCTTTCCAGGTCACTCATATGGCATGCACACATCATCCATGATCCCATAAAAAGCTTGGCACAGGCTGAAACGAGTAGTGGAGCGTGGAGTCGATGGCAATACTGGCTGAGTTAGGACAGTGTCAAGAGTGTGGCGACTCTATCGCTGGAACGTGGTGTTCGGACCTAACTCGCGCAAAGTTCTAAACTGACATGAGCAAATGTCTACGATTATATAGCTACGGTCGAATATGCTACCGAGTCTGCAATCTCAAGTCTACACAATACTAGCTAGGAGTCTCGTGCGTAACCTAGTCTATATAAGCTGAGTCTACGATGCAATCTAAAAGCTAATGGTAGTCGAGTCGATGGTAGTCCCGCAACTCGGAACCGGATATTCGCATAGCGCAACCTCGGAGTCGTGTCGCGCGTGCGGTTATCCAACCTTATCTCAAAAGTACGTGTACCCGGTACGTACCCGATTTGGTACTCGCGATAGCCGGGCACTAAAGTGCACGCCGGGTCGACGTGGCTCAACCGCGGTCATGGGCGGCGGATAACCGGGTGGCTCAGCGCCACTCTCATGCAATCATGCGGATGTCTGGCGATCATGCGATATCCGGCAACTTACAGAAACCCTATGGCCGCAATGGGTGAAACCCTATATAGCTAATGGCGGAAAGCCCTAGTAACTAGCATGAGGCATAGCTGGCACGTGTAGTCGAGCCGTCACAGCAACGAGCCCATACAGCGTGACAGCTGTCATGCGGTCTTATGTCGGTGCGA